GCGCATGCAGCGCATTCACGACCTTCACGTGAACATGAAGGCACAACAGGAGTTCTCAGAGTTGGTCTACGTCGACTTCAGAGAGAACTCCCTTGCGACAGATACGCTCGCTGGGGAGGAGAAGACGGAGATGGAAGACCGAGTAGGGCGGTGTCAGAGCGCTGTAGGTTTCGATGTTGAATCGGTGACATTATATGTGGAGTGTCATAATATAGATGAAAATACAAGATAAATAGAGAGTCTATGACACTCCTGATTATATTACGCGCCCATACTGATTAATTGTATAATGTTGCCGAGAACTGATGAATTGTTGCTGCTGATTACTAGCTTGATTGCCGGAGGAACCTGGTGATGCGAGTTGGTGCATAAATCAACCTCATTACCTCAGTTTAAAAATAAGGTTAAATAATAAGTTGGCCGTATAAAGCAACCCTTCCTCTCAATTTTACATAATACATTATTTGGTGTATATGTATATATAATATATATGCTTCGATTTGCATCTTATTTCATTTAGGTACGTCTGCACACGTGCAGTATTCACTATTTTACAATCGGCTTTCAGAATTCACGATCGGATGGCACTAAACGGGAGTCCTACGGTACGGACGCCGCCACCGCCGCTAGGGGCAGCACCTATCCGCAGACGTCGCGGCGTTCGACGGGCAATGCGTGCGTCGACGATTGTAACTGTACGGTGTGCTTATGCTGCCTGAAAATACGATTCAAACCAAAATGCTGCTGCTGAGGCTACGCTAGTGCACAGCAAGGAGCCACATAATATATAATAAGTAATATATGTAATAAATAATTATTAGTGTTAAATATTCGGAAATATAGCTATTAATTTGGCCTAGTTAACCCCGGTTTAGTGCGCTGCTAAAATAACACATCAACTTTATTAATCGTTAAATAATTAATGCGACGCGAGGGTCGTTCATTTTGTGCACACATGATCATGCGCGATTTCAACAGCATTCTACATACAATACAGAATTCGTGTTTGCGAGCACCTCACGTATACGAATTGACAGTACTTGTTTACTGAAACCAGCTTGGGTTCCCCATCAAACCAGCTTGGGTTTGGCTGCATGCGACCCACGCATGATATATAACAACGTCTTATATCATAGGAAAGTAGCGCAATTAGACACGCGGGATGAGTTTGAGTACATGTGCGGAAATGAACATCGAGTCATGTCGCAGGAGCCGATGGACTAAACGTGACAAACAGGAAATTAGCTGATGGTAATGTGTGGTAATGCACTGTCCGTGTAACACCAGAGGCCCCTAATTATTTACTACCGTGGGTGTTATAACTAACCTTCACGTTAATGCATGAAATACGGATATTTATTATTACATATACACTCACTCACACACACACACACACACACACACACACACACACACACACACATACACACACACGCACGTGTATAGTGTCCAGTGGCACATACATCCGTGGCGGATATCGGCGCGTAATAACGTCCTATGCTATCAGGAAGCCTTCCTGTGTGCGCCACTGGTGCCAGCCGCGGAACTTCCAGATTTAGTACGTGCTTTGCTTTGCGTTGGCCGCACGCGCTTCCCTAAGAGTTACTCTTCCGAAATACCAACGTGCGGTCGTGGAACCCCCCAGGAGCAAAGATAGTGCAGAACATTAGTTCATCAAACAGCTATACTATACTATAGCTACATACTATATACTATACTGTAGCTATGTACTATACTATAGCTGTACTATACTATAGCTGTACTATACTATAGCTTTACTATGCGTGTGAATCATCGCGTTCACATCACTTGACGCCGACGTGCGTGGTTAAGGGACGCCGACACGGCAAGAGACCGTCACGTGGGTGCGGCGGTGACGTCACCGCGGCGGCGACATGGCGGCGGACGCTATCGGCACGGCATTGACCGTCATCGACCTGTGCAGAAGCATTTACGCGATCACGGAGGAATGCAGAAACTACAAGAAGAAGTGCAATGAGCTTCAGCAGAGGGTGAGAGGCATCGAAGGTCCGATAGTTGAGCTGCAGAAGAGAGAAGACCTCGATAAGAATCTCTTCCAGGCGCCGCTGAACAAGCTAGCCGACACGCTGCGAGGTATCGTGTGTAGCCGCTATCATAATATTCACGATCTCATCTTCCGATTTATCAAAGGTTTACCATTATATCAATATTCCTATAACGAAATAAAAAATTAGAATTTCATCCCGCAGTGTGATATTACGAACTTTATTTTGGTCTGGTATGCAGAAGCAATATGTTAAGTGAGTTTGGTGAGCTCGATGTATAGAGGCCACTATTATAATATTTTATTAAACTTGCTTTATTACTTCAAAGTTCTTATAACTATGTGAAATATTATAATTTTATATTACTTACTTTGTTTTTGGTCTGGTATGCAGAAGCAAGCGCGTTTGTCGAGAAGCTGCAAGGAATGAGTAATTTTCAAAGAGTGCGCAAAGCAAATTCGCTCAAGTGAGTTTTTAGTTTTATCTCAAATCGCGTCAATTCTATTACAAATATCTTAAAATTCCCCTTCCCTATCTCATCGCCATCTCTTTCTCTCTCTCTCTCTCTCTCTCTCTCTCTTTCTCTCTCTTTCTCTCTCAGCTCTCTCGCTCTCTCAAATTCCCCCCTCTCTCTCTCTCTCGCTTTCTCGCGCTCTCTCTTTCTTTCTTTCTCTCTCTCTCTCTCTCTCTCTATAATATATATATATTGTAGACGCTAGCTTGCGCTACGATGTGATATTCTGTAATAGACTACTGAGAGAGATACGAGAAGACAAGAAGTAACGTACGGCTCTATACGGCTCTATACGGCTCTATACGGCTCTATATCTCGCTATATTGTCGCTGTCCGGCATCAGCTGCTTCCTGTCGGTCCTTGCGTGTAGCTGAATCGCGCGTGTTTCTGCGTCATCCCTGCTTCTCCCATAGCCAGGTCGTACAATTGCGAATGTTCCGGCTCTATAATGCGCTATCTGCAGCTGCATATTACTGTCCCTATGCATTTCCATACATTTTGCGCGTATGGCGAAAAATTGCATAACGAATGTCACAATCAATGCGGAATCTGCCAAGCATGTCAATGTTCCTTTCTTCCTTCTCCCTCTTCTTCTTCTTCTTCTTCTTCTTCTTCTTCTTCTTCTTCTTCTTCTTCTTCTTCTTCTTCTTCTTCTTTATCTT